TCATTATACTTTTGCAATGCAACAAGGAATTTCGGCAATATAGAATATGATTCATCCCAATCACCAAATATCATAGCTAGCGCAATTTGTTTTGTTTTCCATGCTTTTCGATACGATATATGGTACTTATACACAGTGACAATGTGTTTTATTAGCAAAACAACCTTCAGAGATGGATCTGCCTCGACGAGGTCTTTTACTTGGCGTGCAACGAATTGAAAATCTAATTGTACATGGTCCTGAGTGACTGACACATGCACACAAGTGTGTGGGGCCTTCATATTTGATAATTTGAAAAAGTTCGTGCATTTTTTTTTGAATAGCTCGAAGCCTCTACTTGCACCCGACTGATATTTTTTACACCGCACAGCCAATAATTTTTTTTCACTCTCAACAACCTCAAATTGGACGTGATTGTTGATTGAATAAATCTTCACTGCATCTTGCAATTCTGGTTTACCCTTAAAGATTAGGCCGATGGATAACTCAGGCCGATCTAGGTCCCACAATAGAGCTCTTGTTTGATTGGTGGGGGCAGACATTTGGGGAAGTTCTTCATTGGTGAAGAAGGTTGACGTTGGCTCATGCATACGAACAGTGTCTTCCAGTATAACTAATGGGCCACGTTTGTCAGCGTCATCGTTAAGGTTTGCCACATCTTCCATCATTGTAATCTCCTCGTCCTCATCGCCAGTGTCGTCTGCACGATCAACCGCACGCATTGCATTGGTTGCCAACAAGTGAGCGCCTGACTGAACCAAATTTTGAATGACTTCAGTCCTTGATTGAGCATGACATTGGATACCAAAAGTGGAAGAAGATGTGGTGTATCTGAAATACATCGACGTATGCGTACTCGGCCCTATGTGCAGTTCTGACACATAAGACTCAGCCTGTGGAATTCCATGGCCAAAATTAAACTCTGTTATAAATGTATCATCTGCCCTAAAGTCGTGCGCATGTTGAGTGGGACACGGATTGATGTTCTCCTACGTAAGTAATTCGATATACGGACCATACTTATTCAACATTGGCTAAGGAAACTGTTGGATGGACTCTGCCTGTATGTACAGATCAATACTATTCAATGCATGATTCTCAAAAACAGTATCTACCATCGTCGCGACTCCAACATCATTTTTTATTTCAAATTCAATATAATGTTGCATGCGATCCCCCAAAAATGTTGGATACCGACAAATTAGTTGTAGTCGTGATGTTGAACTGTCCAACTGCATTATCGTATACAACATGGTCGATAATTCATCATATGTTGTTCTGGGTTTTAACTTCATACAATGTTGAGGCTTTCCGTTGTACGATAAACAACCTTCATAGTAGCTAATATTACCTCCTCAACAGCACATTATTGTGGCGCGTCTCCTCAACATTTTATACCTTTAATATACAATACAATATAAAATAAATTTCATATTTAAATGACTCCCTTGGATAGCGTGACATATTATACTTTTACACATATAAGTGGGTAACATTTACACTATATGGCTCTTGGGAAATATTAGTGGGTAACATTTATGCTCTCTCTACAATTTGATGGCTGGGCTGTGATAGATATTTATATGGTTTTGCATGACATATTTTACTTTTAAAACTATTAACATACTTAGAAACTGAAATCATACTTAGAAACTTTCAAAACTATATCCAATATGACATACTAATCTGCTATGTTTAACATGCTCCAAAATTCTAATCCAAATACTCTTACTTAGGCGTCTAGTGTAGCGCTGCAGAAAATTAACACCTTATAGTGATAGATAAGTTGATGAAGCATCAACCTAGCCAAATCATCGTCCTCCACGAGTTATACAAAACATAATACACGTACATTATTTGTTTCTTCCATATACAAGAACATTAAAAAATAAAACTTAGTTTCTAAATCCTAACATGTCATGTGCTTCGACTCATAATCCACACAATCATAGTGCAACAACAGTACGTATCATCACTGTCCACACATTTTTCAGTTGTTAATAAAAGCTAAAAGTATGAAGCTACAAGCTAGTCAGAATGAAGGATTAATCTCCTATAAGTGTTCATGGTTTCCTAATATAAAATCTTAAAATATTCTACTATCAACTGCTAGGAAAAACACAAACTGAAATGTTTTTTATCCTTTAACCATGTCATTCAGCCTTTTATCCTTTAACCATGTCAATTGTTCATGCTTTTTATGCTTTTGATCCTTGTAAAACCTTTAACCATGTCATTCAAAGTGATGGACTTTAGGATTCATGCAAAATGAAATGCTTTTGATCTTTTAAACTCGAGAAAAGTAGAACCCTCTTAAACCTTAAGTCACAAATATAGCTCTTAAGTTAACAGTAAGTATTAATTTTAACAAAACCCTTTTGGGTTATATACCTATGCCTCAAAATCAACTATGTGCATAAATTTATCAAAATACACAATAAAAACAAATTCACTTTCTTTTTTCCCTGATGCATATGTTCATTTGTTTAACGTGAAACCAATTATTATTTTTTTTTCCCTCAAGAACATGTGTTGGCGTATTTGCCATCTTGCCCGCAAAAAGAAACAGGTTTCTTTATATCTATGCGTCTCTTTCTCTCTCTCTCTCTCTCTCTATATATATATATATATATGTGTGTTGTGTGTGTGTGCACCCATATACATGTAGATTTATGTATGTGTAGTTTGAATCAGTGAGGTTGTTGATTTTTTTTCCAAGAAAGATAGGTTGGTGTTATATCTATGATATGTATATTTGTGCTTACGAAAATGGATGACACCAAATGGGACTCTTGATTTTGTCCAGAAAAGAAGGGATTAAAAAATTAGATGGAGTTGTTGATTCATGAGATGGGTCTCTCTCTCTCTCTATATGTGTGTGTGTGTATCTGATGCAGTAAGGATGCACACTTGGGGATTTCTGATGCAGTAACGAAGCACTTAAACTTGGGGATTTCTGATGCAGTAAGGATGTCTGAATTCAACAGTGATGGGGATTGGGCAATGATATAATGTTTTTGAGTTACACTTGGGGAGAATGTTTGAGTAAAACTTGGATATTTCTGAATTCAACAGATTTGGGGATTGGGCAATGGGGATATATTTCTAAAGTATGTAATTCACTGAATTAGAGAGTAAATTAAAGCATACCTGGTTATATAGAAGGTCTCTTGTTCAACACGTGAAGCCTGTCTTCTCCTTGCTTTAGACCCAGGCCACGGGTGTACACCAGTCCACAGCATGATTTGACAAAAAGACTGAGTAAGCTACGCCTATTAATAATCTAATCACTACAATTAGGGCTCAATAGCAACTGTGGTGAATCTCACGCTTTGAATCTTGCAAAAGCTAAGTTGTCTTCTTTGTAGAACCTTAGGGCTACGGTCAGTTAGGGTTTTATAGCTGAGCTTAGGGGAGGCGAAGCACACATAGGAGGAAAGGGGGGCCTGGTGAGAGAAAATATGGAGATGGAATCATTGCACAAAGAAGAGAGCTAAACAGCTTTGGTTTCGAATGCCGAAGAGACGAGAGGAGAGAGAGGATAAAATGTGAAATGAAATAGCAGAAATGAGGCCAAGATATACAAATAAAAGCATGTTTATGGAATACGCTTCAATTGATAAAGCTATGAAAAACCCATTTGATTATTCACCTAATAGGCGGTATCAAGAAATACGCTTTTCTCAATAAAGTCGGATTCCTTAAATCCGCTTTTTCAATGAAGTCGGATGTAGTAAATTCACTTTTACATTAAGTCAAATTTGTTGATTCCGCATTTAAAAGTAATCATAGATTGATAAATAAGTTAAGAATAACTATATTTTGATAAGGGTTAATCTCATTTTGTACCCTGAAAGATTGTTCGAATCTCAATTTGCACCCTCAAAGATAGAAATTTGTATCATTGTGCACCCCCAAAGATTAAAAATCTCAATTTACACCCTCAAGGATAAAAATTTATATCAATGTGCACCCCAAAGATAAAAATTCTCAATTTGCACCCTCAAAAATAGAAATTTGTATCAATGTGCACCTAAAACTAAATTGATAAATTATACCTAGATCCCCTCATACTTGTCACTTAATCATTTAGACCTCTTCACATTTAGAATATTACTCTTACATCTTATGACATTTGTGCACGTATAACACGTAACCCATTTTCATTGATATCTATTAATATAACCGTTAAAAAATATAATTTTATCCTAATAAAAAATTATAATTTCACATTACCCTTTATTTTATGGGTTCAATATATTCTAAAGTTCAAAATCTAGTTTACTATTTGAATGTCTAATAAAATGTAAATATTTATATAATGTTTTTCATATTACCTTTTATATAAATATCTACATTTTATTAGACATTCAAATGGTAAGTTTGATTTTCAACTTTAGAATATATCGAATCCACAAAATAAAAAGTAATATGAAATTATAATTTTTTATTAGAATAAAATTATATTTTTTAACGATTATATTAACAGATATCAACAAAAAATGGTTATGTGTTACACATGCACAAACGTCATGAGATGTAAGAGAAATATTCTAAATGTAAAGGAGTTCAAATGATTAAGTGACAAACATGAGGGGATCTATGTATAATTTATTAATTTAATTTTAGGTGCACATTGATACAAATTTCTATCTTTGAGGATGCAAATTGAGATTTTTTATCTTTGGGGATGCACATTGATACAAATTTATATCTTTGAGGGTGTAAATTGAAATTTTTGATCTTTGGAGATGTAAATTGAGATTTGAACAATCTTTTAAGATACAAAATGAGATTAACCCTTTTGATAATTATGTTTAAAGACCTCAGCACTTTGGTAATAGATTCAGCATTCTGAGCTTGCCCCTTCTGATCTCCACTCCACTCCACTCTCTCTCTCTCTCTCTCTCTCTCACTCATCATTCACATCCAAAGATCTGATACTCCCATGTCCCTCCTTCCCAGTTCGGCCCTCTGTCCACACCCCTCACGTCCCTCTCTCTAAAAAGCCATGACAGACCCTCCTGAACCTTCAACCTCATCAAGCACAACCACCCCAAACCCAACCCAACCATCACCTTTCGAACATGGTCTCGTTTCCACCCCTGAACCCATCTTCAATGAATCATCAAACACAACCACCCCAAACCCAACCCGACCATCAATATACATACACCCACGTAGAGAACCTTTCGAACATGGCCTCATTCCCATCCCTAAACTCATCTTCACAGACGGCATTCAAACTCTAGCTTCTTTAAAAGAAAAACTCCTTACTTTGTCCGGGTTGACTCACCGTGTCAATTTGGAGGCAATCTCGGAAACTCTTCAGATCTCTCTGGACCATGCCCGACTTGTCCTGGAGACCATTGGCTCGGTTCTTCACTCCGATTCAGATCCTCTGCTGACCGCCAAGCCGTCGGAGATTGAGTCAATTGGGGTTGATGCGTTTGATTTGTTGCTATTTTTGTATATTCAGTCGTATAAAAGGTTGCTTCCGAAGGGGCACAAGGATGCTGCCGCGGTAGCCGATGTTTGGCCCTCGACTTCGACTTTCGAGGGGTATTTGTCGGTTCTCTCTCCATTGCAGGTGATTGTCTTTTTGCAAATGTCGATGATTGCTTCTTGTAAATTTTTTTTTTGTTAATCGAATAGTTGATGAATTCTGGGTAATTACATGGATTATAAGTTTTTGTTGGGAGGAATTAAGGTGCTTGGGAATGGTTTTGTTGGTATATGAATGAGTTCAATAGAATTTATTTTTTCCTTTGATAGTTTGGTGGGTTTTTTGTAGCAGATGATGTATGAGTACTGATTAGTGCTCTGCACTGGTGTCACATTTTGCATGGGATCCTTTTAGATAGGGGTTATTAGATGTCGAATTTGTTATTTTGTCAGGTTAGCTTTTTTGCGTTGACTGGATGTCCGTTAATGGGGTGTGGCAATTTGGGACCACATGGTGGTTCTGTTCTTGGTTGGAAATATATTCGTCCTAAAAGACAAAAGGGTCATGATTGACTGTTCACTAATTATTTTTTTTGAAAATCCAATTTATCCACCTTCAACATTTTTGAGACGCATCTTAATGTCACCTAATCTATTTATGCTTATTCTGCTATTGAAGCACACGACCCTTATTTTGTTCAAAAAGAGGATACATGTCATGTTATTGGATTGTCATCCCTTCAAAAAATGACATCCTCAATTGGAATTCTTGTATATGGAATGTCAGCGGATGTCGTGGATGTTTATGTGAGAATTGGGGAAAACATTGCAATCTTAAGTTTTATATGGTACATGGTGTTACATGCTTAACATATCATTGGCTTGGCATTCCACTAATTGCAGCTTGTCCGCAGCAACAGCCGTCGGTTTATGCCATCACAAGGTGATGAAGAGGCTCATCAGTTATCCTATTTACAGAAACACTTGGGCAACATTCTCTCTCTTTTGGCTGACTCTGCAGAAGGGGAAGGCGATGAAACTCTGGTTTGAAAAAATTTCCTGCTTACTGTGAATTCTTCTTATTTTCTTTATGTGTTGAGCTTATTCATGTCATTGACATCTACAATTAAGAATAGAGTTCTTATAACTCGATAAAAGGGCATATTTTTAGTATGGAAAATAAGCATATAAAGGAAAAGATAGGAGTAACATTGTTGACTTGAACACTATTCCTTTTTGTACTCTGCAGAATCTAGCACTTTACTTTTGTTTCCTCTACATGATACCGCATGAGCTATTGTACTTGTTATATGACTCATGAGATCCATTGTTGCATATTCACCGCTGGACATATATGTTTTGTTCAGCGTGGGCCTTACTGACTTAGATCTTTGGATCACTATTGTATTTGCATTTTATATTACTTTCTTTTTCTACTTATATTTCAAAAGATTAATTGTCCTTCGTGTACTGTTTATCTTAATTTTAACAAACTTTCTGTTGTTTCTCAGAAAAAAGTACTGGTCTGTCCGTTGCAACTTGGCTTTTGTGATACAACCTGGTGTTAGTTTATGTTTTGTTATATGTATGGAAGACTAAAGTATTAATCATTGAACATGGTAATAGTTAAAAAGCAGATATTGGGAAATTGAATGGGTAAATTGAGCTGACATAAGTGATCTGAAGTTACGTTATGCAAGTCGGTGGAGTTTGTGAAGCCTACTTGCTTTCTGGTGGGGAATGATTAGAGGGTGAGCTTTTGGCTTGATGCTTTGCGTGAGGACGGGTGTAGGACTATATGTCTGAGTCTATTTGCTTATATTCGCAGAGAAAAAACCTTTGGTTCCTGACTTTGCAAGGTTTTCAAAGAGGGGTTCGTTTATTATCCTTTTTAAGAATGGGAGTGCATCATGGTTCAAAGTCGCGATATCGGTCATCAACTCGGAGGGTACTGATACACATCGGTCTCGGCGCGATATCGGCCGATACGCTGAAAATGCAAGATAGAAGCTCCAAAAAAATTTGAAAAAATTATAGAAAATTCTAAAAATATAGACATCATCATTTATGCATCATTTGTCCACAATACATCGAAAAATACATTAAACATAATTAAAATGAAACAAAAATCGTTTGCGAAAATAATTATCATTATCAATGTTCAATGTAGGTATGTAGGAACATATTAAGCCATAATCATTGCCACATTGAACGACGATGAGGCTCAAAATCGTCGTTATTATTTATAGGATAATACAAATTAGGGTACTGTCTATCATAAGGATAAGAGTACAAGTGTGAATATGGGTCTGATTGAGTTGGTTGAGTTGATTGACTAGATAACCCATAATCAGAGTAGTGTGATTGTGGAGGTTGTACTGGCTGGTTTCCATGCTGATAGTACCCAAAATCACGATATTCACGGCCACTACTAGTAGAAGATTGATCATATCCATAAAAGTTGACACTATCCGATGTCATGTTAGAAGATCCATCATGATGTCTCTTTGGAACACGATCATAGTAACCACCAGTACTAGTACTAGTAGATCTCTCAAGATGTGTAGGGCGATGGTCATAATGCCCAGCACTATTAGTACTAGTAGACCTCGGAAGGTGCGAAGGGATATCCATATCCATATGATCCATGTGCATAGTTAGATTCTATGTCACTACTTTGATGATGTCCGTAAGGCATGTATCCTTCATGTGATGTCAATCCCAAACTCTGCATATGATCATCAATATCTTGCCGACCAAGTGAATGATGGTGGCGTCTATGGGAATAATCAACCAATGGAAGAGTTTAAATTCCTCCGTTGTTTCATTGTCTTTGGTCGATATCCATGGTCTGTATCCTGTGTGGCATAATAATTGTCTTGCCTCTGTGCCCATGACATACCGCCAGGTAGTTGAGTATCACCACCATCTCCAATAGTCCCTCCACTACCACTCTTGTTGCCCTCATCATTATTTTTACCATGATTACTAGCATCATCATCATCAGTACTACTACTACCACCACCACCATAAGTATCAACAACATTATCATTATCATCATCATCATCAGAAGAAGAATCACTAGAACTGACAAAAATTCTAATAGCCTTTTTATCCTTATTGGTTGGCCTCGTATCTTTTTCAGATCTTCTGGTAGTGACATAGTTGCTAGATGTTGGTGCCGTATTAGTGTCACCTTCATCAACTGCATCTCGTCCACTTTTACCTTCTTCAATGTCACGAATACCTTCATCCAACCAACCTAAGTTATCAGGTGATAAAATTGGTTCCTCCCCTTCTCTTATCCATTCATCTAATATGTTCTTATCATTAAAAATGTACTTCAGATCTTATAAAAATTATCATTTTAATGTAGTTAAGATCTTATAAAAATTATCATTTTCACGCTGATACGTTAAATTTCTAACTCGCAACCGCATATTTTAGTGCGCAAAAACTAGCTTATGTAGCTTTTTCATTGCCAATTGGTTGCGAAGTTTTGTATGGATCAGCGACCATGTACTCCAATTTCTTTCACACCCTGATGATGAACATGTTTGACTTAAGACTTTTACTGCAATTTTTTGTAGATGGAGAGCTTCTTCACCATAATTGATCCACCATTCAGTTACCAAAAAAAAAAATGTACAAGCGTTCTACAGGTCTATCCTCGCGATTAAGAGTGAAGATGTGTTGTTGAAGGCTTTTTGGGAGTGGTAAAATTTGAGGCACAACTCTGAAATATGCAATTGATTTAGAATGCCACCAGTGATATTCTTCAAGGGAAGGTAGTTGGTAACCTTCCTACCAAAGGAGTGGAAGATTGGGATTTAAGACAGTTGGATATCCATTCATCAATGGGAGGCTGGTTCAATGTGGAGATCAAGCAAAAGAGCTCATTGCGGATGATGGCAATTCTATGAATATGGTCCTACCCTAGCAAATACAATTGATCACTTTAATCTTCTAACCGACCTACACCGCTACTCTTGCAAGGCTGCTTGAAAGATGGTAGTTTCAATTCGATAATCCCACCTGATCTTGTTGCCCTTTTCTTAGTGGTGTTTACAGGGACTATGTATGCTGTGTAATGTTGTAAGCATGAGTGTTGTACATATCTTCATTCTTCAATGCTAGTCTTTGGCTGTATGACGTTGATGTGTGCAGTTGGTAGAGAGAAAACAGTATACTCTGTACTGTGAGGGCAAAGGGATCATTTGGAAATTCATAACTAGGATTAAATTGGAGAAATGTTTAGAAAAATAAGCCAAAGAATGTGGGTGAACATCAAGATTGTATGCTTTCAGAGTTGGAAGTAAAATAAGGCCAAAAAGCCCCAAACTATTAGTGGTAGTTTACAGTTTGAATCATCAGCTCTCTGCCCAAAAGCTTGCTAACATGCTCCACGTTTTACTTGAGGAGAGGCAAAGTCAAATCAAAGGGAACTATAAGAAGATTCAGAGAGTCGGGATCTGAGATGATGGCTATAGTGAGGAATGCATAAAAAGAGCAAGAAGAATGGACTCTATAGTTGGTGGAGATCAAAACATTTGAGTTCTAGATCAACTCAAAAATATCTATGATAGTCTAATCTTCCGAATAATTTATTGTGCAGTGCTAGAAAAGGTTTGTAGAACAGCACAAATCATTTTTCTAATTGTTCTGCTGATTATCTCGAAACAAAGAGGAAAGGACAATATCTACCTCAAATCTGCATATTTAGTCAAGTATGCAACTTTATAACTCATGGATTCTTACTTCAGTGCAAGTTCAAGGTTTTTCAGCTAGGGGAAAAATGATGGTGGGAATCAAGAGATAAATGTTTAATAGAGACTGGAAAATCTAAGTGGTTCAATTCTGAAGCACCACGCACTTGGCACCTTGTGTTGTCAATATGTAGATTTAGTACATCGGTTTACTTGCATTTCTCAGGTCAAGGATATTTTTGTACTTATAATCTTTTTAAGTGTTTGTGTGTAGTTGTGGTCCAGGGGTCTAAATTATTAGCTTTGGTTAAAATCTTCCAATAATATTTTTATTTTGATAAAAATTTTATCCTAATCCTAACTCTTATCAATTAAACTATTTCTTTTTCCTTGTTTTGAATTTTCTGTTGTCTGTGTTGGTTTTTTGGGGGAATGGGGGACTTAAACTCTTCTGGGCTAGGATTCCATACTGAAACTTTTTGTGGTTGGATATTAATGTTGTGTTTTACCGAATAACTACCTTGAAAATGTTTGCTTGGTTATTTTCATTTGTATTTGCATTTATGGTTTATTTTTGCTCGGAAGTCATGTCTCGGTATTTCTCAAGCTTTGTTCTTGAATGCTGACCGGCCACTTTTTGCCAGGTGTTGACAATGGAGAGAGTTGATCACCTTGGGTTTCTTATTTATTTTGGTGAAAGGGGATCAGAAAGAATTCCATTGAGCCAAAATGCACCATTTTTCACAAATTCAGATCCCGACATGCCTTCTGCTTCTGTTGCTGCAGCACAAGTTCATGATTGGCTTTTACAGAATATAGCTTCTACATTGGAACACATTTCTGAAAGGGTTTCAGCGAAAGAAAATGGGCCAACCAGTGCGTCTGATCAGGATGTTTCGATGGCTGATGTTAGCACAAGTTCAACAAAGGCCTCAACCCGTTCTATGGGCCCCAGTTTTATTGAGGGGATCTCCAAATCATCTTTTGTAAAGCAAGCATCTGATCTGAAAGAGTCTTCTGTGAAGGTTAGTTCTATGTAATTATATGGTGAGGTATTGATGAGGGATAAGATAAACTCAAAGCTCTCTAAAATGTTCTCACCATTGAATTGGAAGCTCTAAAAGGCTATGCATAGACTTCTAGTACTCCTATATTCAATAGGAATTGAATTTTCTCCGTGGAAGCCAATTGGCTTTGACTAGGAGTCTAGGAGACATATATAAAAATACTAGAAGCCGAAACAATGGCGTTTTATCTCTTACCTTACTTTTAATGTATTCTTCTGTATTTGCAGGTTGTAAATTGCCATGAGTCTGTCATCTACATATTAGCACCTTTAAGATATGCCACAGTCTATGGATGCTCTGATGCAACTATAGTCCTTGGAGCTGTTGGCAAGGTAGCATAAGGATTGAGGAATATTTCTTATTTGTAATGTTCAATGGCATCTGGTTTTTTCCATTCGAACCAGCCTCATTAATGCAATGAATTTTGTTTGATTAACGTTAACATCCCCCTTATAGTTGTCAACTAGAATTGCAGAGCAGGGTCTTCATCCTGTACAATTTGAGATGGGGCATCAGATAATGATTACCAAACATGTGGCTCTAAAGGAGAGTACATTTTAATCTGCATAAGTGAAATTGCTCATATGCTTAACTGATGCCACATACATTTTACCTCATGCACTTATTTTCTATAGACAGTGGAAACCTATGGACATCTGAAACTTATAATGACTGTGTAGAATCATATTAAGTGTGTCAATCACGTATATTTCTGTCTCCTCCTAATTGTATGATTGATTATGTTTGCATGTGAATTGACCTGTGTGGCATTCAGATGAACTAACAGTCGTAAATTAATGTTTTTGTAAAAAAGAAAACCGTGGTCAATAAAAGCAGTCACGCATGCTGTAACATCTTATGCTTGTTATCTACTTGCCGATGCCTGGTGGTCGATGGTCATCAAAAAAGGCATTCTAACATTTAACAAGTTCGCATTCTTACTGGAAGTTCCCTTACTACATTGCATCTCTGAGAACACTTTTCGTCGCTGCTGGCAGGTCGATACTGGAAATGTAGTTTCTTAATGTACTATAATTTGGTATTTTGTAAAGAATAACGGAACATAAACTTTTTTTTTTTTTTGGATCACAACATAAACTGAAATTATATTGAGCTTTGCATACAGTGGCTGGCTACACCTTTAGGCTGTTATTCGCTCATGGATTGGTACTTTCTATAGCCACCAAATAAAGCAGTTTACTGTCACATTGTACAATTTTTTTTGTGAAATTTGCATTCTGTGTATGGTTATTATGAATGGGGAGTTAGGGACCTGTTTGGGTTTGCAACTTCCTATTGACAACTTAAAACTCATTCTATCTTCTGTACATCTTATCACGTCAGATAATCAACCTGTTAGTGAAACTGCTCATACGCCCAACTGATGCAACATACATTTTACCTCTTGACATCTGAAACTTACAAGGACTGTACAGAAGAATCATATTTAGTGTGTCAGTGAATTTTTTTTTTTTCTAAAAAAAAATACTGGTCAATAAAAACACTCATGCATGCTAGTAATATCTTATGCTTGTTATCTACTTGCTGGTGGCTAGTGGTCGATGGTCATTGAAGAAGGCATTCTAACATTTAACAAGTTTGCATTCTTACTGGAAGTTCCCTTACTACATTGCATCCCAGAGGACACTTTCCGTCGCAGCTTGAAGGTCATTACTTGAAAAAGTAATTCTAAATGTACTATAATTTGGTATTTTGTAAAGAATAACGGAACATAAACTGAAGAATTACAATATGTCAAGATATTGAGCTTTGCATATAGTGGCTGGCTACTCCTTTAGGGTGTAATTGGCTCGTGGATTGTTACTTTCTATTGCCACCAAATAAAGCAGTTCAGTGTACAGTTATTATGAATGGGGATCTGTTTGGCTTTGCAACTTCCTCTTGATAACTTAAAACTCATTCTATCTTTCGACATCTTGTCATGTCAGATAATCAACCTGTTCCAATTTGTTGCCTACTGAACATTGACTCATTTCAGATGTGATACATTATGGACGCTTTCATCCTGTCCATTAATTTTCTGATTGTTCTTTCTCTGGCCTACTTGTCTTCTCCAGGCCATAAGAGTTGAGCACTGTGAGCGAGTTCATGTGATTACAGCAGCAAAGCGAATCTGTATTGCAAATTGTCGTGAGTGTGTATTCTTCCTGGGGGTAAACCAACAACCCCTTATTGTTGGTGATAACCATAAGCTGCAGGTGTGTTTATTGCTAATTTTTGCTGTCTGCTGTTTTAACTTTATGCCAGCACCACCAAAATTCTCTTTCTGTATCATAATTTGTGGGCTTTAAATTTGTCCATGATGCAATTATACTTATAGATTCTATTGCTTAATCTGTTTTCTGGTTGATCTCCTGACCCTATATTGGTTGCAATATATTAATTTTTGTGTAGAGTGAATGTATTCTAGTGTTGTTCAAGTTTTGTATTATTGTTTAGTGTTCCGTCATGTGATCACTCTTGGCTTGTCTCATGTAACCTTGGAGAATCAGCCTGACATAATATGTGTGACCTTGCGGCTACACAAATATTTCCTTTTTAGTGGACAACTTTTTCACATTTAAGTTATATATTAGATATACTAATACCCCCCCACCTTGTTTATCTGGAAATCTTGTCGCAGCAAGATGCACGTGTACTACTCTACCTCCTCCACTTGAGTTATATTGTAAAGTTACAGGACAAACAGCTAAAAACATTCAAATGCACTTATGCAGGTGTCTTTGCCCATTTAGCTATCCTAAATTATGTAATTATTAGCCAAAATCTGGCCACAGCCAAGAACAAACCAAGTAAAAATTAAAAAAACTCGGAGAAAGGATTCTTTTGGGATGCTTTTTTGAAGAAAGTAAGTAGTAGTTGTTATAGTAGATTATAATATTGGATTTACAACAAGAACAAGCATTAAACATTCATTATGTTTACTATATATACTTGGTCTCCCAATTCCCCATATCAGTCTATGAGGCACGGTTACTCCAACTAGGCTGCCGTGGCAGTATTTGATGTGTCATAGACAGATACATGTCAGATAGGGTGGGATATGTGTTGGTGTTGGACACTCATTGCATGTATTAGAAGTTCATTTAAATACTTACATTTTGGATGCTCTTGATACATGGGGGATACACTACCAACCAATGCTTGGGCCTAGACATAATATTTATTCTTAAGTCGGGCATTGCAGTGTCAGTCTTAAGTTTTTGTTTTAGCACAAACTTATGTGGTTTTTTTTTTTGGTGCCGCAAGAAGCAATTTTAGGCCCCAAAATTGTTGATCTACATAGCGGATCAGTCTGCCCCTCTTTTTTGTCATTGTCTGCAAATTGACGATTATGAATGCGGAGGATGTAAAAGTAAGAGACCAACTTGGACCACTTAGCCCTTAGAGGTGGGTTGTTTCTTATTTGATGTGTCAGATGGGCTATTAATTTAAATGATTGAATAAGGAGTGCATATCACTGCTATGGTCCTCTGATTCAATTGTTTACAATATTTGCTGTACTTTTTATGACAATTATATTAACTTGAAGTCTCTCCCTCACACACTCACACTCACACTGTGGTCTGTCTTTAAGCAGTTCCAGTCATTCATCTGACTGTAGCTTGTGCTTCTGCATTAATCCTCCTATTTGAAATCCTTAATTTAGTTGCTTGGGTCACTGTAGGTACCCAAATTCCCCTTAAATCTATTATATACATCATTACATCTTCTCACTTAAAAATTGGAATGATGGTGGTTTAGGAATAACTGCGGGACACTTCGATGTGCACTCCTTATTCTTTTGTCATTGTTAACATTTGTGTCACTGAAAATAATTTATGCAACTTCCACTTTTGAATTACCTGCTGAGATGATCTTCTGGCAAAGGTCTGTATGCTAGATGCATCTAGCTACAGGTTTGATCTGAAAAAGTAGTTCTCTGCTTCGTTAACTACATTATTGCATTAATAAGCTTTCATTCTCTTGAGGCTGACAATTCTTTGTGATCTTAAATTGTTCTGCTTCTCTATTTTTGTGCTTAAGATGATATTGACCTTTGGAATTTCCTTCGTCTCTCTTTAACCAATTTGGACTAGGTGGCACCATATAATACGTTCTATTCTCAATTGGAGGAGCACATGAATCAAGTTGGTGTTGAGCCTAGTATGAACAGATGGGATGAACCTGTGGTATTGGGAGTGATTGATCCACATGATTCATTATCTCATCCTGCAGGTGTCTCTGATGTTCAAACTGAATCTGCAACTCGCCTAGACTCTGATCAGTTTACAAATTTTTTGGTATGTTTTGTAAGTTGAGGTGTGGTGTATATTGATGTTGAATTGACTAGTTGGACTTTTATTTCTCTATGTACCTACTAGTTATTTTTTTCTCTAGTCCTGGCTAAGCTTCGCTCTAGATCTTGGTTAATTGTTTGAACCTGAACTCTGTATAAATTGTGGTTCATCTAAACAATGTATTTTGTTCTATGTGCTCTCAAGGTGTTTTAAGGTAACTTACATGCCTTTTTGTTCATATCAAATTTCTTATATATACTCTTAACACTTCATTTTGGGGTTTTTGTCCAGATTCCAGACTGGTTTGGTGTTGAATCAGCTGAGTCTACAAAAGACAATCCATTTCCTTTACCAGATGCTTATACGGAATCTCAGGAGCGAAATGTATCAATGTCACTTCATTTATGTTTGTAATTTTAGCGTTCGCATATACCTATTTTGAGCGACCCCCCTACAATCGTGTTCTTTCCTCACCCCGCAAACCTATTTTGAGTGACTCCCCTGCAGTTGTCTTCTTTCCACACCCCCACAACAACGACCAATACACACACACACACAAAAACTAAATAGCTCCAATATTTGCCTAAAAACTTCCTTTTTTCAAAATTGTAGGACAAGAGTTTAGGGGAGATTAAGCATATTTTGAGGGACACAAAACTTGAAGATAGCAGGAAACGGGAATTATCAAGCGCACTCCATGTATACTTTAAAGACTGGTTATATGGTAATGGTTGCTACTCTATCTATCTGTTGTCTTCCATATGGGAATGTATGTTACTGTCGATGCACATATTGTTAGGACTTCTCAACTTCCCATGTTTATGAGCTAAACTTGATGAGCTGCCTGGAAACTCACTTGAAACAACACACAAGCACACATATCTTGAGATGTGAGAATATGAAGCATTTATAGCATTTTTGTTGTGCTTTTTGTCAGCATCGGGGATAATTTAGCCGGCTTTTACAACTTTTGTCGTGCTATTATATATGGTTTCCTTACATTATTTATAATAAACTTAGAGATTGTTGATTGGTTCTAAGCATAGTTATTAGTATCGTATGATATGCAATACGTATTGTACGATACGTCACGATACATAGGTAAAACGATACGAATCGAAGTTTTGTATCGTTTTTACATAGTATCGTCTGATACACGATACGTTTTTACGATATGTATTGATCGATACAAACGATACGCGAAGTCTCTTTTTTTTTTTGATAGCCTCACAGAATAGAGAAAATGTCAAAGAAAAGGCAAGAGATGGAGACAAGAATTCTCGTCCACTAAACCCACAAATCAGCAAAAACTCCCAAACAAAAGCAAATCAAACAAATTTTTGAAATTGGAAAAAATAGCGACACTAACCGGATGAAACCCTAGGTTGATTTTTAACACTAACTTGTTAGTCTCACGATCTCTCTCTGTCTTACGATCTCTCTCTTCATCGCTGTGAGCTGTGACCACGAGGTACCAACCACTAGGTATGTTCTTCTTCTCTCTCTCTCTCTCTCTCTCTCTCTCTCTGGCATCGCCTCTTGCCTCTCACCTCTTCTCTTTGTCTCTGTGTGTGCGTTCGTGGGTCACGAGACTCACGGCTGTGCAAATATTTTTTTTTTCTTGTAAGTGTAAAAAATTACATTTAATATCCCATTACATTATAATTTTTTACTTTTAAGTATATATAAGTACTATTGATTTAATTTGATACCCTTTATTATTTTTTAATATTAGTAAATTATATTGGTGACTTGAATAGTAGGTGGGATATTAATGAAATGTAATGTTTTTATGAGTCAGTGATCTTTTTTCAAAAGCTTATATATTTTATTATTAATTATTTAAAATTGTGTCGTATCTTACGATATACGATACGATATACTATTTTTAAAAAACGATACACCTTCTGATACACGATTTGACAACTATGGTTCTAAGGACTATTTTTTTTCTGGTCGTGAGAAATATCCCATGAGATACTAGGTTGAACAGTTGGACCTGCTTGTGTCCTGCACCTTCTGGTTTGAGATATCTGTGAATTCGCTGAAAGGGCTTGAGATGTGGAATTTCTTTGTGTTTTGGAGAGTTAATTTTTAGATATTACTACCCTTGGGCTTTTCTGGCTGCACGATGGAGACTGATATCTAGTGGTTTTGCTTTTAAAGTAACCTCTTCTATTTACGGGTTGGCTTTGAGTGAGAGGAGAGAAGCCAGGTTTATAGTAGGTACTTTGGAGTTTTAGATCCCAAAAATTAATATATGTTAGTTCCTTCAACTACCCATAAATGCAAAGGTGTGGCTGGCTTCAGATTCATTGGAATTTTACGACTTCCTTCCCTTTTTTTTTTCTTTGTTTTCTTTTTTGTGGGCAGTGGGGGTCGCTATGACCTCAGAAATATATCTTCGAAATGTTTGTCACGATCACAATTATTTCTACGTGTGTGTTATGTTATTTGCTTTTGGATTAGAAACCTCTCTTGATCTTTCTACTTATCTCCTCTCTTATAAAAGGGTTATTATGTAGTTTGTTCTTCATTCATCGAGGGTGTTGGGAGGAGTGGATAAGTTATGTACCTTAAAGTCGTCATTAGTTGTAGAAACTTGCTACCCTCATAGGCTCATCATACTAATCGTGAAAGTTATCTCCAACTGTTGCCAATTAGTTTCGGGTTGGATGCTCGAACATGATATTAGAGTTGACCCTTGGGTGTTACTGGTTCAAGTCCCTTGCCCATTTGAATTTTTTGATATGCTTGTTTGTTTGTTTGTTTTGGTTCAGTTTATTAGCATGTTCACGTGTGGACCAATGTTGCATGTGAAGGAAGGTGTGAAGAGAGTATATCTCACATGGAAATATTAGAGCTACCCCAGGATTGGTTTATTTGTCTGACGGACCTGTCCACCCAATGCTAATTGGTTTGGATTAGAGGCTCTGACAAATAGAAACACAATTCATACGGTTATTAGCATGACACTTTTACTATTGCACCAAGCAAATGACCCCTAGGTTTCTCCTCCCTCTTAAGAAGATATGTATTATGGGTAGAAGTTTCAGTGATAGTTTATGGAATTGGGTCTTTATGCTGTAAGGAAAACAAGAGTGGATTGCAACTGCAAAAGGGTCTGTACCAGGTGAACGTGAAGAATGGTTGTGTGGTTGGCTTTTAGGAGCTATGGATCAAGAGAACTTTGGCAGTCGAGATGCCAATCTACCAGTTGATGAATGTGATGTTATGCTACATTCATATATGATACCGAATGCGATGCAATCAAGTACTTTTCCTGAAAAGATTATGTCAGTCCCCAAGTCATTCAGATTCAAGTTCAAGTTGGGTTATTAAGGTGTTGATCTTCCTATCTGGTTTACAGTGCCATTTATACTCTTGTAGTATTTCGTTTAGGTGCATTAATGGTTTTTTCTATATTTCTGTGGAAAAAGTTTTGATGGTTTATAGTTGTCCCCTGCTATCCTTCGTTTTATGGTTTATAGTTATTCTCCCCTCCAACCCCCCCCCCCCCACATAAAAAAAAAAAAAAAAAAAAAGAATGAAAATGTAAAAACTTTCATCCAGTTAAATAAAATTTGTGTTATTTCATGTTTAATATTTTGTTTTTATAAGAAGTGTGCATAACTGATATAGTGCTTCAGAATAATCAGAAAATAGAATGAGGAAGTTTAACTCCTTTTTTCCAAATGATTTCTTAGCTTCAGGAAATATCCGCCAGCTGTACTGCCTACAAGGCGACTGAAATTTGACATCACAGTGTGGCTCCAGGCAGAGGATGGAGCACAAAAATGGAACTTTATTGTTTTTAATAGCTTTCAGGCTTGCTTAGTGCCTGTTCCTCATGCCATTTCAGCAGACGTTGCTGGTGGCTGGGAGTTGGTGCACTTTACTACTCAGTGGCAACCAATCATGCATTGCAACAGCTGTGCAGGATGAGGTTAGAAAAAATTGGCTTACTTATTCTAATTGTTTTGAAAAAAATGTTTTCCCTATAATACTCTGTTATGCTAGGTTTGCATCATTGGGAAATTCAATATCGGATTTACCATGAGCTTTTGAGTTTTAGGTCTTACATTCTTTTCTGTTTGGTTCTTATGCCCTTGGGGTTTAATTGAATTCCTATCATAGGCAGCTAGTTGAGTAGAGCTAGTGATTGGTTGAATCAGATTTGTTTGGAGAGGAGCAATTTGATGAATTCACGAACTATTTAATGAAGAGAAATTGTTGTCAATAATATTTTTTTTTCTGGGTGTTGACGATCAATCCCATGCTCCAATTCATTCCATACTACTTTAACATCTAACCTGTATTCTTCTGAATTCTTTGCTTTTTGTGATTTTCACTGGTTCAGTCATCTTGGCCAGAATTTTCCAAATTTTCTTATGCTGTGGCAACCACACCCAAGTTTTTAATGGAATCACTTCAAGCTTTGCATTGCCCAGGTGGACTAAGTGCCTCTAGCTTATGACACTTAGATTGAATTATGTGGCTCGTTGCATATATGGCATCGATTCCCCCCTCCCCAAAAAAAAAAAAAAACCCAAAACCCCCAATAAATATTGTGATGTTGATTTGAATATTTTGATGTTGGTTTAATGTTTCATGGTGTTTTTTAAGATGTAAGTTGTAACTACTAAGAACCAATGCATAGGAAAGATGATTTTAATGTTGGAGGAGAAAGATGGGAGCTGTTAACTAGCATGTGAGAATCAAATTGGGCATGTTTTTGTTTTAAAGAATTACACTTTGACTCCCTCAGTTATGGTCTTGATTTTATAACAAAGAAACAAAATAACATAAGCTCAGGGGTAAGGTGACAACTCTTTTTGTTCACTTTATAGGAGGCGTTGGTTCTTAGGCAACGGTATGAGAAATTTGATACTAAGAGAACAATGTAAGATTGAAATTATATTTAGGAAGATCAATATATACTCCCTCCGTTCTTAAATATCTGTTGTTTTACATAATTTTTTTTGTTTTACAATATCTGTCATTTAATGAAATCAAAGTATAATTAATATTTTTTCTTCCAAATTTACCTTTATCTATGTTTTTTAATAAGTGCTTAATAGATTAAGTATAGGTTAATTGTCTTTCATATTCTTTTTCTTTTCTTTACAATACATATTGAATAAGGGTATTTTAATTTTGTGCAATTATTTTTTACTCATATTAGAATTATTTAATAGTTTCCTTAATCTTTGTGCAAAAATCTTAAACAACAGATATTTAAGAACGGAGGGAGTAATTTATTGAACACTAGAGTGGTCTAGTGATTAAGTTTGTCATCTTGTAATCAAGAGGTCTCGTATTTGATATTTTTCAATCCTAGTAAAAGCTAGCCATTTTTATTTCTTAGGAAATATATCCAGTTTGACTTATGGTGGCTAGCTTAGAGTTTGGAGGAGTAGTTACGTAAGTTTGATATATATATATATATATATATATAGAGAGAGAGAGAGAGAGAGAGAGGGATTTGGAGGCCTATCCTTGGGCCTAATAGGATCCTAAAAAAATTTTACTCAGTCAATTTTCTTTTGGATTAAATCACTGTTGAAGAGTTAAAATAATGGGCATAACTGTCTTTTACAATTGTAAAAAATAACAATAATGTCATCTTTTAATTTAAACACCTATTTTCAAAAAATGTGTTGCTCTCTATAAATACAAATTGTACTATAGGTACGTTAAAAAAAAAAAATAGGGACGCAGTTAAAAAAATTATATATACTTTTGAGCCAAATAATGATAGGTATGCAATAAAAATAAATAAATAATAGCTGGTATGCAATAAAAACATATAAAAAATAATAGATACGTAATAAAAAAATAAAAATTACACAATAAAAAGTTATAAAAAATAATAGGTGCACAATAATTATCAGACAAGTATATTAAAACTACAGATCGTTAGATACGTACACTAAAATACAAAACATCATACAGGTACACTAAGCAATTTTTTAACATTACCACCAATGCAAATTTTTTCAAAAATCAAAGGACTTTTGTTTATACTAAAAATTCGATAGAACTAAAATTAGTTTAGACACCAAATAAGGGACTCTAGTCTAATTATCTATAAAAAAAATAAACAAAACCCAATTGGAGTTGAAACCAGAACACTTCCCATGGCTAAAATCCCCACCCACCCACCCTCCCACGCCAATAAAAAATATTAATGAAAATAACCCCAAGAGGTGGTTGAAAAAAAATTATTAATTATGAATAGGTACGATCTACGAAGAATAGGCGAGACGACTTTTGAATTGTTGTTGAGACTATGGCGGGGTTAAGTCGAGAACGGAAGAGGACTAAAATGGTCACTATCAAATGGAAACAAATAATCTAACGGAGGAAATTGATCAAATCGGACTATTCTCCATTTGATCTAATGGTAAAAAAAAGATGAAAGAATTTAATTGCGACAAAATTTATAATTGAGAAATTAAATTAAAAAAATTAAAAGTTGAGAGACTCAATTGAAATCAAAAGCAAAGTTCAAGGTACCAATTATTATTTTTATCTGATAAAGGAAAGCCAAAACAACCAACAACCAGTCAAAAAAAAGTCTATACAACCTACTCTGACCTCTTTATAACATAATATCTAAGTTAGCAGAAGTAGTTGGTGTTAGTCTCCTCCTTCCATCTCAACCCACAAGCAGAGGATGGGGCTCTTATCATCCTTCTGTTGTTGCTTTTATCGTCCTTCTCCGCTCGCCGGCGATGGAGTATTTGTCAGGCCCACCACCAAGGCTAGAAGAATTAAAGTTGATGAACCACAAGCTCGAGCTCCTCTTCTGATTCCCCACTTCCCTTTGAATCCATATATATCTCTTCAGTAATTATATATATTTTTTTTTAGTTCAACGGTCTGAAGTGTCCGAATAGCTATGTTGCAAAACAAGCACTCTTAATTCTGGTTTCCCGTTTCTTCCACGAGGGTGATGAACTAACTATAAGTTTGTAGCAACTCTCAAAGTATCAATAAGATGTAGATGCTGCTGTTGTAAAATGTTTGTAAAATAGCAGTCTAGTGTACGAGACACTTGCAATCTTATCCTTGTGTGGAGAGATATTTTTGTCCTGTCATATGTTTCGTATCAATCCTATGTTTCTAATTGAAATCGCATACATTGTATGAGTTTTTACTTCTGAAAATTAGTGGATTTTGAGGTGGTTTTCAGGTAAGATTGAGAGTTGAGGAAAGAGTTGATCTTTTGGCAAATCTTTGATCTGGGTTTTCATCAAGGATTGGCAGAGATATAAGGGAGTTGCACTAAGCATTTGCCCTAGGCCAGTTGGTCATATTTAACAAGTCAGTCAAGCACGTGTAGCTTCTATATATGACAGTCCACCACGGAATTTGAGGGCCGAATAGCAGAATTTGAAGAGGGTCAGATACATGTATCTTACTTCAACACAACTTACTTGACGTGATATACGAGTAAATTGTGAACTGATAATGAGCCGCTTGTTCAGAAAACGAGCTTAGAAATTTGATTCATTTTGTAATTTGAACGACCCAAAACCAAGCTGTAGCTCAGATTGTTAAACAAGCCAAACAAACAAATTTGTGGCTCATGTCAAACACTCAATAGCACAAACTAAATTTCTTTTTGTTCATGTTGAGCAGTGAGAGGGTGGGAAGATACCAGTAGACCTGCAATTTACTTTCTTTTTCAATGGTAACAAAGGCACTCAGTTGTCGATTCCTTAAACTAAGTCTTGACCTGGAGAGGAACGATTGGAGTATACAAGCACAAATCCCTGCACCAGCAACATTATCCCCCGTGTCGGGGCAACACAAGTAATTGTAACTGAGAAAAAAAAAAAGGGTAATAGCAACATTGAAGATCAGATTTTCCATTCGAAATAATTCTAATTGCAACTGAGACAAAAAAGGGTAATATCAACATTGAAGATCAGATTTTCCATTCAAAACAATTCAACATCTCTCCACGCTTTCAACGTAACTGCCTAACTAGGACCCTTTTCAATCATTAATAAAGCGGTAATTATCTCAAACCAATAGACAGCTCATAACAGGAAATTGCAACGAAACATATTTTATTCAAATCATCCTTTCAGGTTCTGAGATCTGAAAATAAGACTACAGCAAAAGATAACGCAGGAGCATGATTAGATCTCCAAAAATAAACATACCACCAGTTTTAGGTTATACGGGTTCTCAATCTTAACACACCAAGATCTTCTCAACTGTGGTAACGACAGGTTATTACTCAGTATTGGCTCTCTTCTTGGTAGTGTAAGGGTAGTACTCTTTACCAGTATCTATTCTTGTCGTCTGACCACCAGCATCAATCAGCGACGAAGTTACTGCAAGTGCAGCTCCCGCCGAAATTGCTGTTGAAATGCTCCTTCCTGTGAAAATGAAGGTATCTTAGCCAAAACACTTGGCAATAATGATTGCTGAAGATAAATAAACTCGACATGATTAGCATGTATTAAAGAATGAGGACACCTGAGCATCCAGTGGATGACCATTCATTAAGTCATATGCTGGATACATCTCCTAGACAATTCTCTAGAAACTCCTCCTTGAGGATCTAAAGATTAAAATTCCATGAGCACTACACACACCCTACCACTAAAAACAGACCCAGATTCCCAAGCAAACAGCTGGAACATAACGACACAAGCCAATCCAGCATGTGAACCCCACTCTCAAACAGTCACATAAGACTTGGCGGCTTTGACTCATAACACTAAACTGTAGTTCTTCATGTTTTATCATCTGAAACGAGCACCACAAACAAAAACCCATGCAAAAAGATACACACCACACCACCATAGCTTTGCCCACCAGAAAATAAATATTATGCTAAATGTGATCCATCAGCTGGCTAAAGATTCAAATCGTCAAGAGAAACAAAAGGGACACAATACCTTATTAATTATTCGTCCTTCCATAATATTTACCTTTATATGACCTGCCTTTCTTGTTTAGAAACAGAAACTGGGCTTCCTACAGCAAAACTCGTGTCTTGCATCTATAATATGTGGTGTCATTTGTCATAAAGATTGTTAATCACATAAGTGTTGAAGTGTCATGGCTGTGACTTAAAATCATTTCAATTGTCCTAGAATGACAAATTTTGTGGTAACCACGTAAAAAGTAGATTACTACTTTTGCACATTTCACTAAAACAAACGTCGCACATCACAGTCAAGCACCAAGACAACTTACATATTTCCCAATCCCATATAGTGGACCTAAAGATTAGTTGACATAGCTTCATAAGCATGCAGGGTATCATTTATGTTTGTCGAATGAGCCCATGGGAAACTTGTGTTGTCAGTCCACTCAATTTGCTGATTGCTTTAGGAAGCCCTCTCTTGAATTTCGCTTGGGGAGCCATTTTATAAGAAGCTCAATCACGAGAAACTATAACCGTCAACTTAAGACTCACACAGCCTTTGAAAATCTCATAACATTATGAATTGATTACATTTCTCATAGATCCAGCCCAATGAAAGAGAATCCCCAAAGAACATGGAAAGGAAAGATATAAAGAATTGTGACATACTTACCACCCAGTATGCTCAAGAAAAACATGATGTCCTTTGAAACTTCTATCAAGCCATAATTGACCAAGTAGTTCTAAATTTCATGTCACTAATTTTAGGATGGATGGATGAAATCACACAGAAAATTTATTCTTTTGTTCCATCATCATCATCACTCAAGGTCCTCCATCCTCCTAAAATTCAAACAACATCTAATAATTCAGTGACTTTGAATAGCTAAACTCCCAATTATTCCCTACTCAAATCTCACATTAATAGAGCAATTGCACCATCAGAGTCAGGTGAGGCAACTTGGTGTATTGGCACGCGACATTGTCGGAACTATTTTCCCTTAGGAATTGAATGCCTTAGACTTATTATCTGCTTAAACAGAGAGATGTCCTTAAGTGATGGCCACTTAAGCTGAACTACTAGCAACCTTGAGCAAAGCTAGACCAAGTTTCATGCTCCTTAACCAAACTCCAACATGGGCACACTTAGCTCAGATTGGCTCGATAGTTAACCAATCACTCCCATTTAATTAGAAACAGAATAAACTTACAGTTGTATCCCTTTCTTCATTAGTAAAACAACGTCCCACCCGGCTGGAATCAATTCCAAACGATGTAATGACAGAGCACGATATGACAATCATACTTTAGGCCTGTATCCCTAGGATGTAATGGGTCAGGTACCGGGCTCATCGAGTGCTCATGCTTCCCAATGTCAAGCATTTTATTGGGACATCAGTCAATAGCTCCCTGGATACCTAGAAAGGGGCGAGTTCACATTGTTTCCTAGCACATCTTGAATTACACATCTCTCAAAAAAAAGCTAAATAAAGTGCTTTAATCATATCATCTACGTACCATAACACCACCTGTTGTCAGCTCTACAATGTGAAATGGATAGAAGAACTAAGAAGGACCACCCATATAAGCAAAGGGGTATATGTTTGACTTGCATTTGATATAAGCATGTCCTTAATATTTCTAGAACCAATAATCAATAAAAATTCACATATTTATCTTGAGAAAAAGAAAAGCATAGATTTAGTCCATCTATGCAATATTATAAGGCAATTGTCATATGCACATCATTTTTCCAACAACAGGATCTGGAACAGTATCCCAAACAAGACAAGCTCCAGTATATTTTTCCTTACTTACGGCCTACCCCCGGGGTGAAGGGGAGGGCAAATACACCCTTCAGACCAAACTTGACAATTTCATCCATAGATTCTACATCTAAATTCTCAGCATAGAACTCAAGATGCATCAACGTGATGGCAAAACCTTTCCCAATGCTGTCTAAGATAAAACTGATGACATATACAATAACAACACAAACTGAAAACCAAAGCAACAAAGTAAATACATAAAAAAGAAATTTTCAATTCAACTTTCCCATATAGTTCAAAGGACCTTGAAAAAGAAATTTTTTGTTTGTTTTTTTATAAGAAAAAAACACTATAGAGAAAGGCATAAAAGAGCTGATGTCCCATTCATGCGAGTTACATATAAAAAAGCAAATAAAACAATGTTAACATACTCTATATAAACTACAAAAGAAAGCATTAAGGGATTGCATCGGGATGATATCACAAACAATCTTGACAGCTAGCCACTGTCAAATTATTGATATCATTTATTGTAAGTTAGCATCTTTGTATTGATATAATGCAAATAACAAAGGAATCCGTCAGTATCCCAACTAGATCAGGCTTTCTAACAACCTTTTGTTCTCAATCAAGTAATGGGCCGTACCATATACCACACAGTGCGACCATTAAGACTTACCATAGCAATGATAATATTGCATGCACAAAGAGGGCAAAATAAGAGGTCACCTTTGTATCCCAGAACAGAAGCACCAGCAACAAAACCGCCAACAGCTCCATTGATAAAGTCTCTCTTCATTCTATAATTTTGCAACAACTGCTCCACACCTATGTAAACTCCACCAATGGCAGCAAATGTCAGCCCATGGCTACCCATCATCTTCAAGGTCCGAATAAGCCCTGGAAGTGCAACACTTCTCTCAACACGAGGCACATCATACCAAGTAGCAACTATAGTGCCGAATATAGTTCCGGCAACTAGACCTGAAGTTGCACCCTTGATTGTCTTCATCACTGGAGTATCATCATCTTCCAAGTACCTATGTTCCGAAGGATCCATAGCTTTCTTCTTGCTGGGTAACAACCAACTAGGCAAAACTAGTATCAATACATTTGCTAGGAGGCAAGATAAAATACAAGACATTCTAAAACAACCCATCTAACATGAAATAGACTCAGAATATGGATATGACAATTGGGAAAATATTTAATATGCATGGTAAGGATAAGGTAAAATATAACAAGGTAAAACACCTGTTTATCATGCACATATGTACAAGTTTAAAGAACCATGGTCTATCATAATGAACATGCATATATCATCACAAACAACCACTTTTTAAAGATCAATTAAATTATTGTCTTCTTTGCTTTATCAGTATTTCAGTATATCTCCATTCTTCTTCTTCAAAAACACAAGTATCTGAAACTGGTTATGCCAATTATTATGCAAGAATAGAAACTATAGTTACAAAGCTATTGACCATGTACCCACAAAAACCCATCGAGTATAAGTATCTGATACCAATATAAGGGCACAAATCCTTTCTAGATGCATTTGTGCTTCAACCAAAGATAAATAAAAAAAAGAAACACAATGTTTTGAATATGTTATCCATAACAAAACTTTTTCAATATTTAGGGTTTTTTTATGGAGTTTTACAATTAAAAAAAAAAAATTTGCAACCTTGAACATCGTGATTAAAAGCACAAAAACTCATAATTACAACAAAAAAGTATTTTATAGAGACTGACTTCGTTACGATCCCACATTGGTTATATATAAGATTAGATGTGTGTATATGACCTCTTGTGCCCCTTTCACTTGCAAGCCGGTTTTTAGAGACAAATTCTACCCATTGGTTCATAACAATTGGTATGAGTGCAAGCGACCACATCGAATATGTATCGAACCCAGTACTGGCTGATCTGTGATTGAGTCACGGAAGAGGCAACCTATAAACTGGATTAAGATGATTTGGTATTATGGATGGGTATAGTGCTAGTCCTAGAAGTGTGTATATGAACTCTGGCTCCTTTCCCTTCCAAGCCGGTTTTCAGGGGCAAGGATTCATAGCCGATTTTTACAAAGGAGCAATGCCGTTCTTTCTTCTACTCCGAAATGAAAATCTTTCTCCAAAATTACTCGGTGGATACAAGTCAAACCGGGAAAATGTTAATGAATAAACCAATAAATTAGCAAAAGTTACAGAAAGGGAGGAAAATAAATATAAGCACAGGTTCTACATGCGATCCAAGCCCTAAGTACAAAATTCTGAGTCTTATTGGAAACAAAAAATTCGCGCACCATTTACGTTCCAAACCCTAACAAATGAATTTACGCATTTACAGAAATAAATCAGACAGAGAGAGAGAGAGCTTACGAGACTGATACTGATCTGTATTGTTGATGATGTAAAGGGATCGGAGAAAGAGTGCAGAAACACTGAGCTCCCAGAGATCTTCACTTTGAAACTCAAAGCCCAACACCCGAAATGCTAAAGGGCGAATTTCACTATGTATGCCCAAAGGTTTCAGAATTGTAATTTTGCACCCTTAAAAATTAATTTTTTTATTTTACCCCCAATATATTAAAATTATTATAATTTGGCCCTTTTATTAATATATAAAGAGTACAGTATAAAAAATTTAATCTTTAAAAATACAAAATAAAAATTATTAATGGCGTAAAGTGTTGAATATCTTTTGTTTAGTTTCAATTCGTATAATGATAGATGATGTTGAACTTCATCAACTGGATTAAGGATGAGATATTGTGTTGTGTACAATTAGGCTTGTTATATTTCTTATATTAGTGACGAACATTAACTTAATTTTCTTAATTAATCGTATTATATGATCTAATTATAATCAAAATTTGTTATTAATAGGGTCGTATTCAGATCAACATGTATAATCCGTAAATTAAAAATTCAAAAGTAAACCTTATTTGTCAGATATATCAATCACACATGCACCTTCCATAAACTAAAAATCCAGTCTTTAATATGCTTAGAAAATTAATAATTTTTTTTTGCCAAATTCTACAATAATTCATACCAATAACGGGTCAAAAAATACAGAAGAGAAAAATAGTATTGAAATTGTCTTCCCACCATACTAATTGAATAGGTGTGTCGTGTCAAATTGAATAATGCACCTTTTGACGTAAACCAAATCCACTTCTAATTTGTTAAAGGTTCGTGTCTTTTTTGAGTTTATTTTAAGGTATCGAAAATTAACCACTTATAATAGATAATGAAATTTATTACCTGCAACTTTGATTTGCTTTGTGCAATACTATGATTGATGGAACAGTTTGTTCTTTTGATGGTCTGAGTTGAAGTAAGGGGCTTTTTCTTCTTTTTCCCCTTTTAACTTGTAGTTCATATTCTTCCCTATTCAATAAGATTCAACTTTACCTATTGTCTTTAATTTAATGATATTTTTTATTTTATGAAGATTTAACTTTCATGAGATCAAGAGTTTAACTCTCTTAGGTGACAAAAAGTATGGTTGATTGATAGGAAGAACCTCATTTACTTGTACAAATCATATCTAAGTCTCTGGTGTAGATTCGAATATCAATCAAAATATAAATTCTAATTTAACTAGTATATGTGTTGAATGACGGGTTTATGCACTTCTAGTTTGCCTTTGATTTTATTCAAACTCATAACTTTAAGTAATTAAGTCGCCTCTATCTTGTCGAGAATAGGCTAATAATTTTTTCGTCATCCTTTGTCCCAAAAAGAAAAAATTAGTTACCAAAAAAAAATAGAAAGCTATGATCAGATGGGCTATTTTCCCGGAAGGTTGTTGCCTATTTTATTGCTATTGACGCCGGGCAATGATTACCAAAAAACCAAGAAAGAAAGAAGAAAAACAGGGCAATGCCTCTTAGTTTTTGGTGAGAAGAAGAGTAAGGAGCTGGAACACTATTTCAAAAAGGCAACCAGATCAAGGTTACTACTTAGAATTGCACTTGTGACGTTCCTCATACATAGATTGTAACAATCATACAGTTTTAAGCACCGACAAAACCAGAAGCACTCCTTTTTTCCTCATAGTTGCATAAAATCAACAAGGGTTTTGTCTACCCAGAAAAAAAAAACAACAATTTCATCTTTCAATGCAAATTTAAATGATTTATTAGCCATTTGATGCAAATTTAAATGGCACAATAACAAAGCTTCTAGCCATTGGTTGGTGATCGGTTCCACAGGCAAATTGGAGCATTGATTTCTCATGGTGGTGTTTAGCATGATAGAGCAGAGATGTGAATTGATAGGATACTGAGTAACTTAGTCTGAGTTTCTAGTCTCTTAAAATTTGGATAAGAGAAAAAAGGAGATTCACACATAAAGAAGTTATAGTGGTTCACAAGCTCGACTAATTTACTTTGAAAGAAGTCTCTTGCTCCTGAAGAAGTTATTGATAATGGAAGGAAATTACACCAAATATTTTTGTTAGTTAGAATTGCTTGTCCTTTGTTGTGAGAAATATGCTCCGGATTTATAGCCTTTAGAGGCCTTGCATGATCTAGGGCATGATCATAGCCCTCTTTTCGTAACAGTTGCACCTTTCACACGACTAATATGGATATTGATGAGACGGTCACAACTTCTTTACCCAGATGCATGGTCATTACGTTATCCATAGTACTTGGGTAGAAGCCAACTATCTTTGTCGCTATTCCTATGGAGGTGTGATTGCTGGAGAGGAGGTTCCAACCTCAGGTTCCCTGGTCATCCTAAATGGGTTGAATGACTGGACGTCCCGAGCTCAATACCCAAACTCAACCTTAATAATATTTAGGGTATCATCAATTTCCAATAACAAATCTCAATTGGCAAGGCCAGAGAGTTCTTGATATCATCGTAACTGAGTCTGCTTGAAATAACATTTCCAAAGAGAAGTCATGTAAAACAGACAGTAGCCAAACAATTATTATCTAGAAACAAGGCTAATGCCCTGGTTCATTAGTTCAACACAAAACATAGATCAAGTCGTCTTAAGTTTATCCCAATAGAGGACAGAAGTAGTCAAGTAGCTGCTAAGCAGACATCGTACTAAGTACTTGTTAAGCGAGGTCATGGGACCATAAGGCGAGCGAAAATAGGAGACATTCAAAGTGACCAGTGCATATTCTGAATGCAAGAGTCATAAGCCCTGGAATGCTCAGCTTCCAGGAGGTACTGTCTTCCGCCCTGCTGAGCCAGCTCGAACTCCCCATGATACTGACTGTTAGCAGGGTGTGAAATTTGAGTGAGACCCAGATCAGGAGGCATCTCATGGGAACTGCTACCAGTTTCATTACACTTCAAACCCCATGAGTTGCTTGAAAACTGACTGATGGCTTCACCATTGGTACCTGCTGCTTGGACCATAGGTGTACCATCGGTATTCAGTAAGTTATGCACCCCAAGATTGAAGGGCTGGTTTCTTGAGCCCCAGGGTTGATTTGACAGAAGAGAGAGAGCACAGCTGGAGTTTGATACTCCGACAAAACATTCTCCAGATGGAATATGGGTAAACGGATCACCGGTCCTACTGGAAGATCCTTGCAGAAGGTCAGGTGGAGGATTTTCTGAGTTGCTCTGCCACATAAATGGGAGAATCTTCCCAGTGGCAGTGAGTTGATTTCCAGAAATACGGTCGGTTCCTTTTGTATCTGGCCATGGAATCCTCCAAGTAAGCTTTGGATATGAAGTGAAATCCATCAGAAAGCCTCCAGCTCTGCTGTTGTTACCTGTCGCTGTCATGATGGGTGCCAAAATCTCAACTCAGTTTCAGCAGAAAGCATAGTGAAATACAAAAAGACTAATATTTGCAACAATTCTAAGAAATGAAAAGGAACTTCAAAGGAAGTCTGTTCATGATGTTTAACCAAAGATAGATGGACCAAGGCTCCCATAGCGCGAGGACAATAGAGATCCAGCAGGTGGCTTTCTGCGACGCTCATTATGACCCGCCAGGCGTCTACGGCAGCTTCTTTTCCCTTGATCAAATTCGGGCAGCTGATGAAACCTGGGAACAGAATACCCAAGAACCAATTAATTGCAAATTTTTTAAAAAGAGAAGTTGAGGATTTTACCACACAAAAGAAAAGAGTGGCTACGAACATATAATGATTTACGTAGTTTGGCAATTTGAAATGAGATTGCTTACTTTTACTATCCACAATTATGGGTTACAAACTTACAGTATCTCCCACCCAAAAAAAAGGAAAAAAAAAAGTAAAGCATTAATCCATGGTCATCTAGTCCAAACAATTTTATAATCTTAAAGCTATCTCTTCATAAATGCACACTTGAATTAATTCAAAATTACCTCTAGCCAAATGGATGCCTCAATGATACCAGCCAACAAAACTGGCCCCAAATAAAACATGTGCAGGCCAATGGGTTAGTTTACTCTAAACAAACCATGCCATCATCCATTATTAACTACTAAAACTTTGCTAAGCTTACTGATTCAATTGTGTTATTGTGAACCAGACATAAACCACCAGCAGGCATGATTGAACTGTTAATTTGTATCTACCTAAATAAAGGTTACTAGGACATTCTGATATCAATCAGGGATCCGTGCTGTTCTTCTTCAATTATTCTCTTTTTTACTCCATCAGTACTTAATTTGGTGGGGGTATAAGGACATCTGACACCAAAGCTGAAACTGGAAACCCCATTCATAAGCCTTCCTACTGAACTAGAATGTATGGGAGTTTTCTTTTTCGTAACATGTAACCTCAGAAGTGTTATTCCAGGGATACTTGTCACGATCGCCATCATAGTTCGTTCTATTGTTTCTAGTTGCTTACCGATCTTAGCCTCAGCACACTGTCTAAAGCAACATCCTTTACTCTCCAAGAGCTCATTAAGTTTGTCTGGAACGAGGACAAAAAGATGAAATCCTATTGTTCACTCAAAAGGATGTAGTATAATTCCCACGTTACTTTTCATAGCATTTGGAGCCATTCAGCAAGACAGATCAATCGGGGTTACTGATGGTGTTTCAATCATCTCAAAAAAAAATCCCAAGGTATAGGGATACTAGAAGCATTTATGCTAACCAAAATATACAGAATAGGTAGCATTTTAAAGGAGTTTTTACATTTGATGACCCAAAGCTACACATCCAGCTCAAATCATGCCACTGTTCATCTCCATTGAAGAAGTAAGCCACAAGCAGTCTAACATTTTCCCCTATTTTTTAAGGGTAAGGCGCAGCCAATTCAATTTAATTCACATATTTCAAAGGAATTTTGGGTACCGGCTTTACAATTTCAATCTACGATTGAATTCTGAAAAGTCAAAAGGGATAATAAAGCACCCAACACCAAGTCAAGAATAGCATAAGTTCATAGCCAACTGAACTTTATGCATTCTACATCAAAAAAACAGTCAGCATTACGGAGATGGTTAGAGGAGATGACACAGAAACTGAGGTCCTGTGGAGAAATACATGCAGAGTCCTCAAAAATACAAATGCTATGAAGTACACAGAGGAAACTGAAGAATCAAAATGCCATCAGTTATCAAGGATCACACATAGCCAAGTCCTTCAAATCTCATCATGATAACCATGCTTAGCAAACAAATTATCGATATTATATAATTCGGCAATGCAGATATTTTATTGCAGCATTTATGTTTGAACTTCAGCTCAAAAACACCAATTTATTTGCGTAGAACTTGTGAAAGTCCAACCTAATTATCTACTTCTCTAGTAAGATGTGGCTCAATTCCAACCAAAAAATGTAATATTGAAATGTTATTTCAAAACTTACGGTATCCCAGAAGCAGGGAGAATATATGTATGCATTTGCACCTTTGCAAAAAATGATTCAATGACATAATAACAAAATGGCATGCTCTATCATCTTGTAACCCACTTGAAGGAGTAAATATTCAATGCAACGGTATTACCATGTCACCATTGATGACATGGTATCACTAACCAATAATAAAACTCTAAGTGGGTAAGGTAAACTCCACTTGAGCTTACATGGAGGAAGAGTGGGGAGTTATTTACTTACATAGCAGGGTAGTTGTTACTTTTGTGTGTGATCCATTTGCTTATTTGTTTTAATATTATTGGTTAGTGATATCTCGTCACATTGCCATGTGATTTCACTGTTGTAATGAATATTTTCTCCACTTGAAGACACGTCAACCTCTACCTCAAAGGGGATAAATAGAAAAGGGAAAATTGAAAAGAAAACAATGAACAGTACATTTTCTCATGAAAGACTCTTAATGTCACAAAGTTTCCACCTCTTTCTCAATATGAATATGGATATTTTGCCCCTGAACAGGGAATCTCAAGAGCCATGAGGTGTGTATTGGTGTTCACTAGCATACCACCACTAGATAATTCCAACTAGAAATTGCCAGTACGAAAGCTATACGGATCAAAGATTTTGGCCCATTTGATTTGAATGCTAAATTGAATCTTACTGCAAAGTACATTAAACAGACAACTCAAAGAGTTAACCAATGGCCTAGAACATACTAAGTTTTGACAATCCATTCTCTCTTCTTGCAAACTATAAATATAATTTGCTTCCAGCCATAAGATCAAGCAACTAAACACCCCCCTGGTGTTATTTCATCCATACCACAGTTGATTTAAATGTGGACATGAACATATCCCCCTGGTGTTATTTCATCCATACCGAAAAGTAAAACAATCCCAAAAGGTAGTATGTTTTCCACAAAAAGTGATAACTGATAAGTGAACCCAAAAGTGAGTGTGCCCTAAAAGTAAGTTTCACCCAAATAGTGGAGTTAATATTTAGTGTAATAGTTTCACCACATCAACATTGTCATGTGGTGTTACCATTCAATGTCAAATAAACAAGTGGGCAAGGGGATCCCATATTTTTTCATTGGTGGTTACTATCCTAGATGGAGGGGTAGTTATTTAAATGAGTGGAGTCCACTTTTCTTAATTGATGAGTTGTCATTGGATGGTCACACTATGTGGCAATGCTGATGTGGTGTAACTATTATACCCAATATATAGATACCCAAAAAAGTGGTAATTGTTACCGTACTGTTTAGCCCAAAATACGAAAATTCAAAAATATTCAATAAATTGACATCTGACATTCATATACTTGTTATGCAGGTGTCACATGGCCGAAGCCCAAGCAAGGCGGGAAAACTGTCAGTTACAGTCATGTTTAAACAAAAGGAAGTTATATATTAGGAATTACTATTAGATAACCGTCGATGGAAACACAATCATCAAAAAGTATGGCTATAAAAGGGGCAACAAAGAAACAAGGAAGACACGTTTTTCACCCCACAAGACCCACAAATCTAGGCATCATTAGGAGTAGTGTTAGAGAAGATTTTAGACATTAAATTGTAATTAAGGTTGTTAATTCAATCTCTTTTATAACCGAAGTCCCTTTGTTAAATTAATAAAGAAATTTGTCTTTTTACTAGTTTCTTTGCGTCGAAGTATCCTATTGTTGTTATCCAAGAAAGTCCTGAAACATGGCAGTGAATCCCTTCCAAACAATCGTGTAATAATGTTTATCAATTAAGATATTCCTATCAATCCTAGCAGATTTAGACAAACAGGTACTGTTTTTTTTCCTGGTAACCTAGTCAAACCCTAACCCTTAAACATCAAACAACAAAAACTTGAACACAAAGAATAACTAATTTAAAACTTTCATCCAATTAACATAAACACAATGAGCTTTTAATTTAAAACTTGTATCATAATCAACAGCACCTAACCAACCAGAACCAATTTACAACCACAACAAATTAACAAAAAACAATCATTTACCACAAAACAAAGTGAAAAATAAAAAATTCGGTCACAATAATAATATTATACATGTGTCTATGTCTGTGCTCCATATTGGGTATATTACACTTACAAACATGAACTATCACCCTTTTTTCACTTTTCACCCTCAACTACTAGATTTCTCACATTTCACTCTAAACTAACACTTTTGTTTCACATTGCCCAAATCATAAACATCTGTCATTTTTTTTTTTAACAAAAATATCTGACGTGTCGGAGTAAAGTGAAAAAAATTACATAATTTGAGGGTAAAAATGAAATAAATTTTTGTTAAATATGCAATAGACATTAATTATTGGGGCAATGTGAAACTAATAACATAATTGAGGGTGTAATGTGAGAAATCTGATAGTTGGAGGGGGCAAACTGAAAAAAGGGTGATAGTTTAGGGGTACAAGTGATTCGCACTCAGAGAGAGGCTTTTCGCACTCTATCCACATCGAATTGACAAAAATACCCTCAACTTTTGCGCACAATACCATCCCCTACTCTCCCTCACGCGCGCAGTCACACATTCACAATCATCGTCTCTCCCTCCTCCCCTGGGCGCCGCCGGTGTAACCCCTTCCCTCCGGCAAAGCAACCGAGACTCAACCAACGCAATCCAAAAAATCCCACACCACGAAATGAACGAAAATCGTATCGTTAAAGTTCCAGAAAATCATCAAATCAGAAGACAGAGATTAACGATTTCAGCTTCCGATTGGTGGCGGCGATCTCTGCCCTAGGTTCCCACCCATCGTCGAAGCTGGTGCAGAGATCGGCCGCTTACCGGCTTTCAATGTGAATTTCTCAGCCGCACCAAACCTCTTTCCGTATAAAACCGTATAACGAGATAGTTGGTGGGTGGGCTACTCATGAGTATGTGGTGGCGGTCAATCGGAGAAGGGGAAAAATTAATGGTGGTCCGGTCATTGTTAGATCTCTCTCTCTCTCTCTCTCTCTCTCTCTGTGTTACTGGAAATTAACGTTGAATCAAACCATTTTATAGCTCAAGAAAGAAAGAAAAACCACAACTGACCTGCTACACTGCTGGCAAAACCTCTGCTCAATCCCTGCAACAATGACCTTAGGCGATTTGGAGTGCATACCACAGACTTTGTGCCGAGAATAGTACGGCTTAACATCACTCAGATCTACTTTACACCCTTCAACCTGACACCTTGGTGGTTGTCCGCCCTGCACCACCGCACTCCTCCCTTTCTTTGACTGCGCCGGCGATGACAGGCCTTTGGCCGACGACCCACCACCGGATTTCGCCGGAACTCCAACACCCACGTCCTCAAAGTAGATTTTCTGGCCAAACTTCAAGCCGTGGAGCGAGTCAGATGAGTTTGAAGAAGGAGAAGAGCTCGAACCCATTTCCATTTGTGGTGCCTGGAGCCCATTCATGACGACTTTATGAGTCAAATAAGGATAGAGAGTGCGATCATACTTATGTGCCAGTCAGAGAGAAAAAGTTGGGTTAATTTTGATATAAGTACGTGCGGAATGAGAGGTGGTTGTGAGTTCTTTTGGGGGAAGATGATCGTGGTTGTAAAGGTACAGTGAAGGCAGACATCTGACACACAGGTCCATCATGCCATCTTTGGCGGTTGTGTAGTACTCTGAGAGCTCTGATGACCGAAGGGACTCAAATAATGGCGGAAGAAAAATAATGGAGAGAGATAGAAAGAGACGACCAGATAGAATAGCTTTACAAATTACAACACTCCTTTTTGGGTCACATAATTTTATTTAGGGTCACATTCTCATCTTTGTTTTAGAAAAGGAAAGCCCTCTTGCTTCTTTTTTCTCTATGCATAACACTTTTATAGATTCTTTCCTTGATAATTAAAAAAATAAACAACATTTGGTACCCTTAAAAAAATTTTAAATTTCTAATTCATATCATAAGAAATTAAAATTCTCAAATTAGATCCTCAATCACATAAAGAAATAGCAATGTAGTTTGTTTTTATAAAATTGAGTTATATATAAATAATTGAGCATAAAAAAAATGTAAAGACTACGTCTGTTGGGTGTATAAAGAATTTTTTTCAACAATCGACAGATAAAATATTTAGACAGAAATGTTTCGTATCACTGTTTAAATTGGGCATATAACTGTCTTGAGATTTTCTTAAATGAAATCGAGTGACAAGTTCAAAACAATATAAAAAACAATAATGATACACAAAAGAAGTACATTTAAAGCTGACTGATGAATTAATCTTGACTATTGCACTAACTTTTTATCCTAAACTAACTTGAGCACTAGTCATAAAATGCTCAAGCCGTGACTCTTTGATGGGTTCGATTATGTCTTTTTTCTTATGATTAATGTCTCTTTTACAGACATTCCTCATCGTCGATGACACTAACTTCCTGGTAGTTTCCTTCTGCCTCATTTGGGGACTTTCTAATTTCAAGAGTTTATTCTGTTTTGATAACTATTGTCTTTTGAACGAGTAAAATTGTGTTGTACAAATTTATTTATTAAATTTTATATTTTAAGTGATGCGTCAAAATTTCATATATTAAATATTTGATAAAGTTAGTGGGCCTCAGTAATTCAATCACCTGCATTGATTTGTGATACAAAATTTGGACAACAATTTTGTCAGTATAACATTGCTCCTTTTGAATTCCAACCCAATTACTTATTCCTTGATTTAGGAGTCTTCAAGTAACTACTCTTTTTAAATTTAAAAAGTTACATCAATTGATTTTGTTTTTTTACGTGTTTATTTAAATGAATATCACGTGGCATATTATCTTAGCTGATTTATATTATGAACAGATGTCATTCATTATTTCTTCACATAAATTGTACAATATGGTCGAAACAATGTCCCTCATTTATGTAGATTAATTTAATAACCTAAATAAATAAACTTATGCAAAAAATGAACTGGTTTGACGGTTACTTTTTAGTATTACCTTAGGGTGACCTTCCTCCAACGAATAAGTCGCCTTAGAAGTTGGGTCTCACTTGCTCGTCCAAACAGCAAACTTTCTTTATTATCTTCTTTTCTATGTTTTTGTTAGTAGCTAACTCTAACCATTAAAAAGGAATTTAGGATGATAAAGACAATGCTAGTTATTTCCTTCCACTTCAAGAGGCACAACTATTCTAGGTTCGCTTGTAGCCCTATCCTCAAGTCTTTATTTTTGCCTTCATCTCTTTTCTTATAGTTGTTCCTCCTTTTTAATCCTGTCATACATTTTCTCTGGTATTGGATGTCCCTACCACATATATTCTTGGCGCTTTCATAGTAAGTTATATTCTTTGGTATTTGTTTCTCTTCTCGAAAATGGTATATGTCATTCTCATACTTATATTTCTCTTGCAGACTGAAAATTCTTAGATAAGCACCATCAAATATATTTTAAGTACCATTATAGAGTTGGATGTCACCCTTTCTATTGGTACTGATCAGAAGCCCTTTATCTACGAAGTTAGATATAATATCTTCCAAAAAGAATGGCCTCTAATTTATAACCAGTTTCTTAGCACATCTGAAACACATGACCAGAGGCTCTTATTTTTTGGGACCAAACTTGCTTACAATAAGTTGATTCATCTTTGGGACTAGTCTCCTTTTTCTTCCTCCATTTTCTTACTTACAATGGAGCTTACAATTCTCTTGGATCCCTGCACATTAGGAGAAATCACATTAATTTCCACCTCTCTGGGAAAAGGATCATTGCCAACACCCATTGTTTCTTTTTCTTTGGAAGCATATTTGATCATTTCTTTTTGTATCAAATCTTGCACACAATTTCTAAAGGTAATGTAAAGAAAGTACTCTCAATTACTTTTTCCAAACAGAAAACTGTCTTACTACACATTCCTAATACTTGGGGAAAGAGACACATTAAACAACCCAAAAATAAAAAAAGTAATGTTATTGGAACTTTTAAATTTGATCAAATTTTTTGACCTAAGATTGTATCACTTGACAAGTCATTGTTTGTGTCAACAAATTAGGTCATTTTTTTAGATTCCAATCCTCTAATAGCATCACTCAAAAACATAAAAAAAAGGTTTGTGAATGTAATTGTCGAAACATGCCACTACAAAGTGAGCAAATTAAGTCAATTTTATAGGTCCCAATAGAGTTACTTTTTTATTTTTTGTGACAATAACTTTTGAACTTCTTCATTAAAATTGTATCAATTGACACATCATTCTTTGTGACAACAAATTAAATCGATTTTTTTAGATTCTAATAACATTACTCAAAAAAAAAAAAAAAAAAAGTTAGCGAATGTAACTGTTGGAACATGTCATTGCTAGGTTAGCAATTTAGTCTTTTATAGGTCCCAATAGAATTATTTTTTTATTTTTTTTATTGTAATTGTTTGTAACCGTGATTTTTGAACTTTTTCACCGGGACCGTATCATTTAACACATCCTTTTTTAAAAAGACTTTTAGAGATGTAGTTTTCATTCTAATCTGAATGTTGGTTTTTAGTTTGCTGTTGTTTTCTCAAAAGCAACAAACTTGACGTAAAAAACCATTATACCTAATGGTACCTAAAACTCGATACCTTATGATGGTATAACTATTACACATTAATGAAAGAAATCATTGTTATCCAAGGCAAAAGAAATTAAATTTCTCGAACAAACTAATACACCTTAATGAATAATCATTTTATCTTATTTTTTGCTATTCAAAAAAGAGGTCCAGAGACCACCCTAATAGACTGTCACTAACATGATCATGAGGCCCTTAGTTGCATCCGTTATTTCTCTTGGTAATGAACTTAACTAAGTTAGCGTAGCAGTCGATCACCAAATTCTAATATAATCTCTACGACTCAAACGTCCAACGTTAGGATAAGAAGTTCGATCAGTACTCTATTAGACTACTATTTCTTAATTTTGATATGAATACAATAATAATAAAACTTTATACGTGATATGTTTTTTTTTTTTGAGATTTTGATATGAATACAAAAATAATAAAACTTTGTACGTGATATGTTTTTTGTTTTTTGAGAATTTAAATACCGTAATGGAACTCAAAAATGCCCCCCTCCCCCCCCCCCCTCATTTTTCTTACTCACCAAACCTGCCGCGCAATAATAATGCTAATGCCTTTTCAAAGGCCCACCTATTTATGATGGGCCATACATCCGTGTTTAGTAAATATGTCAGGCCACTTGAAGGGTGTCAATGGTTTCACCAGATTTTGAGGCTCATTATTAATAGGAGGATTTTTTGAAGGTCGGTACACCTAATTAAATTTATTTGGCAAAAAATATATAAAATAAAATATGAGTAAAAAAGACATAAATACCTATTTTAGGATCATTAATTCAAAATCTCTTATCTTTAATGCACATTAATTCATGTGTGTTTGTTAATATATATAAATATATATTTAATGCACATTGATTTATGTACATTTGTTAATATATATATATTTGTTGTTAAATCTCTTATTTAAATTTTAAATTATCTTTAACATGTGTATTTTTTTCTTAAAAATAATTTTGTTTTCAAATTATATTTAATACACCTTAATTCAAACATTTTTTTTTTTAAAATAATTTTATTTTTAAATTAATTTAATATTCGAATAATATAATAGTATAACAATAACAGTGTAACAAAAACAATGTAACAAAGATAGTGTAACAAATACCTGTAACAAAAAACAGTGTTCAGTAGTTTTGTGTATATGATAACAAATTCAAAACAGAGATGAACTATTTTGAATGAAATTATATTAAACTATATATTTGACAAAACGTAATAGTACAATATTTTGTGTAAATAGTTTGTTGCACTATTATTGTTATAGTGTTACATTATTAGTGTTACACTTTATTTTACACTATTACACTATTCGGATATTAAATTAATTTGAAAATAAAATCACTTTTAAAAAAAAATGCATGAATCAAGGTGCATTAAAAAATAATTCAAAATTTAGATAAGAGATTTAACAACAAGTATATACATACATACATATATAATATGTATTTGTGTATATATAAATATATATAAAAATATGAATTTATGTATATATAAATATATACATAAATATATATGTATATACAAATATGTATTTATGTATACATAAAAATGTATATATATATATATATATATATTAAAGTTCTCTCATAAAATTAGGAGATGTTTAATGCACCACTTTCCAAATAAAAGTGATGCATTAAATACACATGAATTAATAGAGGACAAAAATGTCACAATAAAAATAGATAAATTCAAATTATGTACTTAGATACAAATAAGTATTTTATAACCCTACATTTTTTAGTGTGTACTTTTTATCAAATAAGTTTAATTTGGTGTACCCTTTACAATTTACCTTTAATAAAATTCAACCTCTAAGGCAACTCGTGTAAAGAGAAGTTGTAAATTCAAATATTAT